AAGTTGAGGAGAGACCACAGTTCAGCGAGACTATTGTGGAGAGGTGTACCTGTCAGTAAGAGACGATGTTCGCTTGGATAGGATTTAATTTCTCGCATCAAGCTACCCAGTACGAGTTAGATCTAGATTAGTTATTTTGGGATGAATTGCGTACCGACAGTCCATATTCTTGAGCCTATGACCTTCGTCGACGACGATAAATTGCCATGCTCGGGTTGGAACGAGGTTGGCGAGATATTGTGTGTCACGGATGATAATATCGTAGGTAGTGCATACAACTGGAAATTCCCATGGATCCATATCCTTGAGTTCTTCCTCATCACTTGAATCTGCCTTTTTCCGACTACTGGTTGATTTCCTGCCTTTCCCTCGAAGCGGCTTGCGAGGTCTCGCGGCTTTTCCATCTAGTACTGGTGGTCTTAGAACTGTTCTTCGCATTTCTGCGCGTTCTTCTTGAGAACCATGATACATGCAGACGGGAATCGATGGCGCGAATTTCGTGAATTCACTAATCCAGTTATGAAGGACGCTAAGCGGGCAGACGATTAAAAAGGGGCCCCATATTCCCATATCTCGTAGGTGTGCCAGAAATGCTATAGTTTGAAGAGTCTTTCCCTGTTATGCCTGGTGAGCTGATATTGTTTGGTTTAGAGTCTATACTCACGAGTCCCATTTCGTCGCCTATTTGAGGAGAAGGTCAACAGCAAGCTCATGTTCACATGAAGAATACTCACCCAAGATTCCGTTGAGACCATTGGCATGGAGAGTCGACAGCCACTGAACACCAGCCAACTGATATTCTTTGAGCGTGGCACCTGTGATCAAGGGAGACTGAGCTTGATATTCGTCTTTCTCCTCGTCTTCTTCTCCATCTTCAGCGAGAGCTCGTCCACGACTCACGTCGCCACCTTCCAGTTTGGACAATTTATTGGCAGCCATAGCGTCGACTTCGCTCTTGTCCACGTTCAAGAGATCTCCACCCTCTCTCTTCCTCTTCTTATTACTAGCTGCCGCATTCGCCGACACGCCCTTTGCGGCCGACTTTTTGGCCGCTCGCTCCTCTTGCTTTGCACGCGCCGCCCTCTGTTCCTCTATTCGTTGACCGATGATTGTAGCATAAACGGTAGACTTTTGAACCAGAAAATTTAACAGTTGCAAGTTCTTTTTTGCATCCTAGACGCGTGCCCGACCGTATTAGTCATCATCTCCACCAAGAGTTTGCCACTTCGCCCGTGGCGGGGTGTGGGTCTAGACATGAGTAAGCAAACGCACCGTATTATCCTCATTCTCTTCAGCAGGAAGTTGGACGAGACGCGGCTAATACAGCGTAAGGGATCGGCGTTAATTATGTTCCAGACACGAGGATCGAAAGGCAAGTCTAGACGGGATGGTGGTGAATGGCCAATGGGGACAGACCTCTTCTTCTAGTTCCATCTCATTTTCATCCTCTTTTGAGTGCTCTTTGACGACATCTCCAGGCTCAGAGACCTAC